GTGTGCCATGGCTCCTTATTGCTCCTCTTTGCTGTCAAATTACTTTTGGGTGGCCTGCAAACGTGCGGAAGGTTGGAATGTCTCCGACACCTTCCGGCTCTAAGTTTTACCATCAGGCCTACAAAAGGTATGCAGGGTTTGGCCGGCCCGCCTCCTTCCTGCTCTAAACGTTCACCCTTGGGTGGCCCATGGAAGGTAAGGTTTGCCCATTCCTGATCCAAAGTCGTATCTTCAGGTGGCCTGTATAAACCGTGCAAGGTTGGAATCATGGCCCTTGATACAATAGACCAACCACTCATACAGAGCGCATCAGGGACGTGGATCGAATCGAAGCTCCAGGATGCAGAAAGTCGTGTGCATCAACGAGCCAAAAAAAATAACGAGTCAACCGTCTTCAACCGTCTTCGGTATAGGGAATGGTCACATCCGTTGCCATGGTTCTGATTCGACCCAGCGGATGCCGATTCGATCCACCCTCGTTCTTCTTGACAGCTCCCAATTCTGGCCCTCCCGATTCTGGTCGACACATTGTAGGTGGGACAAAGACTTTTTCTTGGCACGTAAAAATAGGTGGAACTCCAGCTCCTCAACCAACTCAAATCAAACCAGACGTGTCGAGCAGATGTTTCACATCCTGGTTTTTGTTTGTTTACAGGTGATGTTCTATTTTCCCTATGGGTCAATTTTCCCAAATCAGGGGAAGATGAGTTCTCTACCGATTCCTGGGTTCCGCCGCAGCCAAGACATCCATCCCCGTCCCCGTCCCCGTCCCGCCCCGGTTCGACAGCGGCCGAACCGGAAGGCTGTCGGGTGGAGATCCCTCAGACGCCGCTGGGAATGCACCGGTCGCATCGTAAGCCGTCGCGCGCCCCGTGCGCATCGGTGTGCATCGCAGGGTCGGTGTTTTGGAGGGATGGATCGCAGCATGAGGAGTTTCCTCAGGTGTTTTTGGTCAAGCAGAAGTGGTCAGGCCCTATGGTCCAACCCAAAAACGAGCTTGGGGACTGGCACGGCAGTCTGCGCAGCACCGAAACCAGCAGACTCCTCGCGCGCGAATCGTGACTCGTTCCCTCTTTGGGATCCGCAGGACGGGGGGGGAAGGAAAAACCCGGTGAGGTTTGGCGATCGCCAGACAGCAGAGGTGTCATGCAGTTGAATGGGTCGCAGTCCAAGCAGCTCTTCTTTGATCTTCTTTGCTCTGACCTGCTACCTGCTACCTGCTGCTTCATATGCAAGATGCCACTCCAGTTGGTTTCCCATCTATGCGGGGACACGGTCTCCTACGTACCTCTGCAGCGGAATCAGCCGCTGGACTCGTCAGGCAAGACTATCATGGACACTGAAAACCACTGGTTGGTAGAGGAAAATAGTGTTCCATGGGGTCAGGACGGACCCGGGTCTATGTGAGTTTTGAGTGTAGACTTGACCGTACCTGGTGACTGCGCAAGGCCCGTACCGTGCGCCAGAGTTGATGAGGGGCTAGAGATTATTGGGGGTACGCACCTGCGCCAGCGGAGGAGTTGATTTGTTCTTCTGGAATACCTCCACAGTCATGGCTGCATTAGAACAACATTGCCCGAGATCCTCATGCTGCACTCCAGAGGAGTGCAGCTACTGGGCTTGTTGCAGCTTTTCTGCCAGAGTTTCACGAGCACATCCACAACATGTGCAGTGGACAACATGCTGAATATCGGGGTGACTAGCACCTTTTCTGAACCTTGCTGGTCAAACATGTGCTTGTAATTACTCAAAGACGGCCACGGCTGATGAACTATGAACATGCTTGTATGAAGGTTCAATGTGGCATACATTCATCATCCAAGCACCCAATCCCAGGCCAAAGAGTGCTTTCTCCTGGATTTGCACTAGAAATGATCATTTTCGATCACCCCGTTGGCCCCGTTGGAGCCTCAAAAAGCTAGCGGATGAGATCTGGTCTCCCTCTGAGGCCTGGTCTCCTTCCAGGCAGGTGAGGGGCGCTGCTGAAGGGCGTTGATGTGCGGCTGAACCAAGAGTTTCCAACGGTAGCTTTTGGTGGCGCGAGACTGGCGCTGGCGCACCATTCTGGTTCCAGGTGGCAATTCTTTGGCCTTATTTCGGATAGCTCAACACCAGGGAGATTCAAGAAGGTCGAGTTCCTTGATTGATGTCTTGGCCCTACACCTTCCTATTGGAAAAGTCTTACACCTTCCTAACAGGACGGCAAGCGACGTTCCCTATGTATAAATAGCTAGACAGAGGACATGTAACAGTAACTGGGTTTTCACAACCACAACAAGTGTCTTGCAGCTGTGCCCAAGAGTAAAACAATGAGTAAAACAGGATATCCTCAAAAGCTTCTTTAAACTTGTTTAAGACGCAGGCAACATGCAATGTTCAGTATCAGGCAAGGTGGAAAGACATTTTTTGATGCGTGATGACAATGGTTCACTGGGGGACAGACAGAAGTTTACTTGATTGCTTAAATACATAAAAATGGTGGTTTTGGATGACGGGACCAAGTTGCATGAAGGAGGGTAGGTTCAACCAAGGCTAACCACTGTCAAAAAGGAGAAAGGGTTTGACGAGAACGAACTTGAGATAAGGATTGACATTCTGCAGAGGATGAGATTCTTGTCAAGGAGAAGGCCTTGACAGAGGTTAACAAAAAAGAGAAACTTTTATATTAAATTAGAGAACACCACTACGGTATTTTTGCAAAATACGACGCACACATCTATCTATATATATATATATACAGGCTTTAGCAACATGTATGTTTACCCAGGTTTGAGGGCAGCCAAGTGGATAACACTACATACTCACATATACTCACGACTGTTGTTGGTAGCAACATGTTGGGCATGCTACAATGCTTTCCAGCAGATGCTATATAGGTTTGCTATGGTTTGCTAGACCCGTGGGCAGCAAGGACAACAACCGAAAGTCCACACAAAGGGTGTGAGCCTTTGAGTCATTGGGCGCCGACCAGGTCTTGACCACCTCCATCTCCGAGGAATCAGTCAAAGGTGGTTGCGGTGTTTTGACCTTCCTTAGACGAAGAAGCACACTCCAAAACCAACATCCCTTGCAATAGGGGGATGGCAAAACCAAAAAAGCAAACCGTTAACACAACAAAAACTCGTGCACAACATGTATCAACAAGAAAGAAAGGCACACACCCATATGTTCTAGATTGAGGCTGCACTGGTTTTTTTCCTTCTTCTTTTCTCTTTTTGGAGTCACACATGGATGATCGCAGAACGAACACCAAGAAAACAAAACGCAGAGCAGATCTGCCAACGCTGCTCTACGCAGATCTGCCAACGAAGAAAAGGCGAAAAAGAGATGGGAGCGAATCCAAGAGCATGGCAGCGAAAAACCTCCGCCACCTGGCCCTACGGTTGGAGGCCATCGCTCTTAGGTAGGTTAGGCCATCGCTACTAGGCCCTACTCCCTCGTTTAGTGGCTCCATTCATGACTGGCAGGCTTGGTGGCTCTAGGCCCCCAATCTGAGAGTGGCCAGCGTTGGCACCCCTAAGACGGGGGTCCAAAACTGGATGTGTTAGCCGCGAATGTCCGGAGCATTGACATTCCTAGACACTTCTCCTAGTTGCACATGGAAGATGAGGGTCAGTGCAACACCAACTAGGTTTCTTCTGGGGAATCCGCACCAAAACAGCACCTTTTCTTGCACTGCACACCATGTTCTCCGTTCCACCTGTCCGGTCTGTTTGGACCACCGAGCCGGTGGTCCGCTTCGAGCGTCGCTTCGATGCCCAAAGGGTCTCCGAAGCAGCGATCCTCGTCGTCTGCTCGAAAAGAGCTCGCTGACTTCGGGCGGGTTTTGGACCGCGTTGGGACATGTCGAGATAAAATTGGGACCAAGAAAAACACGTGAAGACACACTACTGGACATTTGTGGTATTGAATTTGATGTACGGAATAAGGATATCTTCTCCAGGAACAGGGGAACCATTGGGAGGATCGTTTTCTACTTGCATTGCTAAGCGCGAGTGTTTGTAGAGCGCCGACCAACCTGCTTTGCTCCACAGAACCTCTATTTGTTCACTCCTCTTCACATTTCTGGTGCCTTCAACACCTTGAGTTGACTGATAGACCTATCTCACAGTTCGGAAGCCCACAGAGATCCAAGAAAAGAAACTAATTGTTAGAAGGACATCCTGATGCGTCCATGGGCTCGTGATCCATTTGGATTGCAACAAGCGTTCATGGGTAGATGAGCATTCTATCCATAGATCTCAAAAAACAACACGAGTCACTCTTTAAAACGTGATCATGGTCTTTTCAGCACAGGTACAGGTACTAGTCATTGACGTACTATGAATTTTGATCGTCCCATAGAGCCCATCGTCGTGATTCCAGCGACGGGAAGCAGCGACAAACGTCGCATGGGCGGGATGTTTGTGAATTCGCAGGCGAACGGGGCCCAAAAGCCGATCTGGGTGGAATTGTGTCGTGTCCAGGCAGGGTTTTACTCTACTGACCAGGAAGTAGCACACCCTGATATGATCTGAATATCATTTATCCGATACCCAGACACTCCGTGTATGCCATATATGCCTACATTGACCCCCAAAACCACCCTAATGTAGGCATATATATGGCATGCATGGAGTGTCTGGGATGTAAAATCAAGCATTTTTAGAATCCAATCTTGTGGGAGAAATCTGAGAGATCCTCCTAAACTTATCAGGGAAGTTGGCGACGTAAGCGATGTCAGACTCATGAGGAGTCTGACGAGTGTAGGTCGACACACCTCTGAATCAAGTGCTATCCGCAGGGCCCAAGGCTTGCTTAGGTACATGACATTTGATCACAGCAGCTGAAAAGATGCAGGGGGTAACTGAAACGCTTTGGTTGTATCTTCAAGACTTAGCGCATCATTGTGGAACCAAGGCCTGCCAAATCCTATCCAAGGGCGAATCGATTCAAACAAGGACGGAGTCGGGACTCTTCCCAACTTCAACAAACATCCAAAAACCAACCCTGGCCGGCCCCTCAAATACATTGAGTAGACTGTCAGTAGACTTGGCGGGTCTCGGCGAGGTCGTGGCGAGAACGGCAGCTCTCAGCTCGTTGGGGAGCGGATCCTCCCGACTCCGACCACGCGAGCCGCATCCGCATCCCACGCGATGGCGGACGACGAGCGGAGTTTGATGGGCGGCTCGTCTTCTGGAGGACCCGAGCACAGGCCGAGGGGTCCAGCACAGCAGGCCCAAGCCCAGGTCTCATATCGATTTGCTTCAAGGGACTATCCTTCCTGAATAAATGGGAGAAAGACATCAGTGTACCATATAGTATGTATCATTGATGGATCAAGTCCTAAATGGACCACAGAGCTACACCCAGTGGCGCTGGATGTGGATGGGTTCTTTGCTAACCGAGTGGTGGTGTTTCATGTAGTGGAAGGCTTGCCGAATCTTATGAAGACCTTGTTGAAGTCTGGTCTTTTTTCGGGCTTTCATCTCCCCCCCAAACCAGCCAAAACCCTCCCAGTCTCAGGACCATCGGACTTCCGAAATCAGGGAGCCCAGGTCCTCAGGTATCGTTTTTTTTTTTTGGAACAAAGAGTCTCAGGGGATCGGCTCCGATCGTCACCGAAGTTCGACCGGTCGCCCAGCTCGCTCTGCGCGGTTTTGGTGCTGCCAGACCTTGGTCCAAGAACTCTCTCAGCAACAGCGAGGACGAAACGGGCGAGAGTGGAGAAGCAAACAGAAGCATGCACAGTGCATATCCCTAAAGCCCTGAAGAGGCAGATTGTGATAGACATGTTTTTCAGGTCCAGTGTTGCAAATAGAGTGAAGGATACAAACTTGGATCATTTTGATGAAATACACAGTTCTGATTGAAACATCACTTTATCATACTTTATCATCAGTCCTTAGGTGAAACATCCAAGCAGCGCACATCTCGTCAGGTGCCCCGCACCAACTTCCGAGAGGCGACGTAGCGTGGTGGACGCGACGTAGCGGACACGTTGTCCCAGCGTTTTACGGACGTTGCGCCCCGAGTGACGGGATGCAGTTTCAGCATGCAGTTTCATCATGCAGCTTCAGCATCGTGAATTCGTTTTCGCTTTTGGGGTGAGGGCTCGATGCTATGATATAATAGTTGAAAGAAAGATGCTATGATATGGCTGATATAGTTGAAAGAAAGATGCCGGAGTGCACAGTTTTCTACATCAACTAGTGATTGGAAGTGGACGCACGATGGCAAGCTGTCTCACGCGACATCGGTTGATCCGTGGAGAGTTGATCCATAGGACCGGGTCTGTCCGTTCTGACCTGTAACAGTCTGTAAACAAAGAGGCCTTGTCCAAAGAGGTCTGTGATATGTCTTTTTTGCACAAGTCCTCTACTAACCATCATCATCCACTACAGGTAATAGGATAGACCCAAATTATCACTATTTTAATTTTAGAGATGGAAAGGCCTGCAACTGAGCCATCATCCACTGTTACTGGCAACAGGATAGACTCAAGTTGCAAAACTACTAGGGTGACCATGCCCACTAGGTTGGAGGCCATCGCTCCTAGGTTGGAGGCCCTCGCAATTAGGAGTCGGTGGACCCAACATAGCATGTTCTTGTTCGGGGTCGGTTCTGAGTTTCGGATGCGCCCTCTCCAGATGTCGTATTTTTCCAGACAAATCGCTCGTCATGGGATTGGCTGGGTAAGAAAAGGAACACTCATGGACTCTACAGTGAATGGTAGGCATGTGTGGAGACGTAGGGATTCTGTGACTCGCAAATGTTCATCAAATCACGTGTCTCAAACACATCCAAATCTGGAGATCGACCATGCCGTGAGCAGTAGGTACCAGATAGTTCGCCTAGTTTCATGTTAGGGCCACCCCAATGGCTGGTTTTGCAGCGGAGCCCGAGGCGCTGAAGATTCATTTGGCAGACTTCCAAAGCAGGCTCATCGCAGAGTGCGGGAGCCTAGGTGGGTCAGTTCCTATCCCAATCAGGGCCAGAACAAGTAATTAGATGAGTTTGACAAGAATTCCAAATGACTCACCCTGCCGCCACAAAGTATTCGCTGATTCAACCCCCAAAAGGGTGTTGGCTGAGAAAAAGCACCAGGCACACTGGTCAGGGGAACAACGGTTTCCTTGAGCGAGCAAATGTGCGTGTGTGTTTTGACTGTAAACAAGTCATAGGCATGAATGGCTACACTCCTGGCTCTGTGCGTTTGGAATCAGCAGACCGCTTTATTTTCGACTTCCCCTACTTGGCAATAAGAACCTGCTGCCATTTTCTTGGCAAAAGATCACAGAGATGAGTTGCAATAAGGGCAAAAGTCAACAAGCAACTTTCCTGTTTGTCTTCAGATTGTCCCACACTAATCATAGAGTAGGGGAGCATGTGACAATAAATTCAGACATGAAGCCAGACTTTTGACCTTTGTCATTGTGTCACTGTTCAGACCTACTGGTGCACAGTGTCTACCTACAATTGGCGTATCTGGAGTTCCACTGATCATGTAAGAGGAAATTGGTCGCTATTCAGGGTGGTCACACAAAAAACATACACACATGAAGTGCCTTCAAGTTCCCTGATGATTACAAATGCATGAGGGCGTTTAATAGATGCGGCAATGCTCCAAACCCTGGCAAACAATCAGGGACTCACAAGTTTGACGATGCAATAGCCGTACCTCACATGCATACACTAGATATCTGATTATTATATTCACATATATATATATACATACATATGATCGTGGAAGAGTTAGACTATGAAAACATGAAGCACTTTCAACGCAAGGCCATGTTCTTATGGGTTTTGTAGCTACTAGGAGCCAAGGGCATTGCTACGAACGGAGCAAAGAAGCTACGATCGGGGCTCCTGGCATCGCTACTAGGAACAAGGACGCTACTAGTAACAAAGGGCATCCCTACTAGGCATTCCTACAAGGGCATCCCTACAAGGCCATGTTCTTCTGTTTTTGTGTTCTTTCCTACATATTTCATCTATAATGAGATGGCGGCAGGTCAGATAGTCCTTAGGTTGCATAGGCTTCGGAGAAGCCGCTTCGTAACGGTTGTTTCGGTCGTCGGTCGTCGGCCGTTTTGGGTCTGGGAGACCCAAGGCGGCCCAGAACAGCGTCGTGCGCACGTGGTACATATGGATAGAAGAGTATGTCAGTATGTCCCATCAAACAGTTGTACATTTGGAAGGAGTTGGCATCGGTTTTGGGACGAACAAGGTCTGTTTTGGTAATCTCATCAGTGATTGGTATGATTCAAAGGTCTTCAAAATCCAAAGCCATTTTAGCCTGCCCTGTCCAAGGTTCGGGAGGGCTCAGAGATGGTCTACTCAACACAAACACCCACAAAACTGATATCAGGAGTTGGTTGTTTTGTTTCACTGGATTTTGCTTGAGGTGATTGTGTACTTTTGTTTGGACAGCCCCAAGTTCACCTCTTGCAGCCCAGCGTGAAACCTGTGTTTCTTCAGCCGCTCAGCGCTCTGCCGGGTAAAACCGGGCGCGGAGCGCTCCGCTGCTCCTCAGGCATGAGAGTCGCCTGGCGCCAGACCTCCAGAGGCAGCGTGACGTCAGTTTCGCCTGGCTCCGGTGAGCAGTCGACATGGAACACATGTAGACTCTGGATTCGTAGTTAAGCCGACAATGGATTGAACAAACCTCAAGAAGGCTTGGGGTTCAGTTCATCAATCAAGAGTCTACATTGGTATTTCTGACCCCCCAAAAGCAGCTGTAACAGTGGTTTCAGAGGTTTGGGGTGCCAGTGCCATCGAACCTCTGAAACCAGTGTAAAGTAAATCTAATTTTGCCGTACTACAGACTCCCAGGTACCAGTGTACATTTGTGAGATCATCATAGAGTCGGGCTCTTTGTTCGAAGAAAGAAGACATGTACCTTGAAAGGTGGAGTCGGCACGGCTGCAAGACCGAGAGCCGTTTTCGATAGAACAAGACGTCTCGGCTGCAAGATCCCCCTTTCAAAACCCCCCCCCACAGTATGCCGTCACCTCTCCCCTGCCCACCATCTCAGCTGCTCAGCTTGGAGCTGCGGATCGAAAGCCTCCGCGCGGAGAACGAACGCTTAAGAGCTTCGATGCCGGAGGAGCCTTTGCTCGGACGCGGTCGGAGCGCGGGAGCCGGGGTGGATGAATTCTCGGTGGGCGGGAGCCAAGAATGGGCTGGAAAGAGGTTGGAGCGGTGCCAAAAGCTGGTGTAGGTTGAGTGGGTGACTGTTAGAGTTGGCGAGGGATAGCACTAATTAATTTTTCTTTGTGCTTGATGACCTGCAGATGGAGTTCAGGTTGACGGATTTGAAGAGATGTTGCTCAATGTTAGCTTGGCAACTGCCTCTTGACCGTGAGGTATTGCAGGGTACTTGTTCATCTTCCTGTTCTATCCAACACGATGGTCTCACCGGAAAGCCATTTGGGCCTGAAGCAGAACCTGCTTAAATAGGACATGCACCTGGTCGCAGAGAAGCAGAACTCTCGTGAGTGGTTCGTGACGGGTACTGCTCAGGTCGCTGTGTTTCCTTCGATGTTTTGCGGAGGTGACGGGTCTGGTATCGAAAGCAGATGGACCCCGACCAGTGACTGGAGTGAAGGTGGTGGAACCAGGTTTTTGCTGATTTCATGGGCTTACAGCCAGTAGCAAACTAAGTAGCCCACTAAGTACTGCAAGCACGGCATAGTGGGTTCATGCCATCGTGGGATTAAAACTCCCTCCTTTGAAGGTCAACGAGGTCAACAAGGGTTGAGATTGGGGGTATCGGAGACCACATCCCCTTAATAAAGGTGGTGACCTGATGATGGATGATGGTTGATAGGATTCTGTGTGAACACTGAGGCCAGTGTGAGGGGTACTCTTTGCGAGCTTGAACACGTTAAAATATATAGTATTTTGATAGAGTTTTAATTAGGGAAAATGAACGAATTTTGCTAGAGAGGTTTTTAGGGATTGTGGAACAGAGATTGCTGGGGATAACATTGGCAGCTTAGATTGCAGCTCAAAACAATATACGAATTAACTATTACTATTTTCTCTGGGTAGCTGGGCTTGATTAATAGGGGGGAGGTTTCTGCCAAGAAATCAGAATATAGGGTGATGGAAATGGTGAACTCCTGGTTTTGAATTAGTTTAGTATTGGGGGCTCGAGCTGGGCTTGATTCATAGAGGGAGGTTACTTAATCCTAGCTTTGCATTATCGAGTGGGTTAAGCTCGGGACATACCATGAAGCAAGGGAACGAAGACCACATAGAAACATGTGAGGACAGCCAGTATGATGAAAATGGTGAGGTCATGAAACAGCCTACGCGGCTTGAGAATGGAACAGTATCGCATATATAACCTGTGTTCGAGAGAATAGCTGGCCTTTGGTGAAGATTTCTGAGGTTCTTGTGCCTGCAAATGTTCCTCGCTGCCGATACTGCAACATCTATTTGCCACTGGGTGCGAAGCCACCAACCAATAATTGCTCTGAATGATGGAGAGGTTTCGAACGGTGCACCTCTTTGGCTTCTCAGAACGGCCCCACCACAACGCGGACGACGTCACTACGCGTGACCGGCTCGCACCCGATCCACGGGAGAGGTCGGAGAACCCCCAGCAAAGCATCGGTCGATTCCACGAAAAAGGTGGGCGAACATGGGAGACTAGGTGGCCCGGCTAGGCCGGCTAGGTCTTCCTGTTTGATACTTTTCGATTCAGGGAGGCCTTGAGTCAGGGAGGCTTGAGGACGACTGAATGGTTAGAGTGTCGCTGGCTGTTTTAACCTGGGCCCATCCCCGGTGTTCAACCTGCTGCCGGAGGACCACAAGGAGCATCGGGAACACTCTCACTGCAGAAGAGAAGTGAGTCACTTGACGACGGAGAGACTGGACACCACTCCGCTGAGTAATTGCAACACAGTTTGGCTTGTTCCGCCTCACACTATTCTAGAAAAGAATGAAGAACGCTATGTGAGGAAGAGAGATCATTGGCTGATGAAGGTTCTCTACACGAATCATGTGACCCAGATGAAACAATGACTACTGAATGACAAGAAGATAACCAGGAGCTGACAGAAGATATCAGAAGATACACCAGATAAAAGGTAAAAGGACACAACATAACCAGATGCTGTTGACCAGATATGTAGGCAGATTACCCAAGTAGCATAGCCAGATAGAGGTCATACAGTGTCCAATGACAGTTCAGAATCCTGTGTTTCTTACCATGGGTCAGCCATGGCGTGGCCCACTTCAACATCTGGCCCACTTCAACTGTCTTTGTGAGATCGACAGTGCGCACCATGAACTTCGCGTTCGCCTGGTTACACCGAAGGTGGCTTCCCACCGGGCACAGACTCTGGACGTTCCCAGGCGCCCGAGCCTCCGCGATCTCCTCTTCGCCCGTGCGGAAGGCGGGAGAGAAAGACATCACCGGGGTCTTCGCAGGTTCCAGACGAGACGGACGTAAGGCTTGACCGACATGCACAGTTTTTGCCTAGTAGTAGTAGTAGTAGTAGTAGGAGTAGTCGTAGCGGTAGTGGTAGTGGTAGTGGTAGCGGTAGCGGTAGGGGTAGTGGTAGTGGTGGTGGTGGTGGTGGTAGTAGTGGTAGTGGTGGTAGTCGTGGTAGTCGTGGTAGTAGTGGTAGTAGTGGTAGTAGTGGTAGTAGTAGTAGTGGTAGTAGTAGTAGCAGTAGTAGAAGTAGCAGTAGTAGAAGTAGTAGAAGTAGTAGTAGTAGTAGAAGTAGTAGTAGTAGTAGAAGTAGTAGTAGTAGTAGAAGTAGTAGTAGTAGTGGTAGTAGTAGAAGTGGTAGTAGTAGAAGTAGTAGTAGTAGTAGAAGTAGTAGTAGTAGAAGTAGTAGT